TTGCGTGTTCTGACAAATGTAGTGAAGCCGTGGATGGAAACTGTGTCGGCTGGAAAGCCATATGTTTTCCAGCAGGACGGTGCGCCCGCCCACACAAGTCATTTGGTGCAAAATTGGTTGTCGGACAATGTCGACATGTTTTGGTGGAAAGAATTCTGGCCTCCCAACAGCCCAGATTTGAATCCTTTGGACTTCTACGTATGGGGCGTGGTTGAAAGGGTCACGAACAAGTCCAGACATCCAAATGTCGCATCATTGAGAGCCGCTATTGAAGCGGCATTCACCGATATGGACCGGCATTAAAGCGTACCTGCGCACGCTTCAGACCGAGAATGGAGGCGGTCATTCAAGCAAGCGGGGGATATATTGAGTGAATATGTTCTTTATGGCCTTACAAACAATGGAGCTAAACAAATTTTGTAAATCTTATCATTGTAGCAATAAAACATGTTTAGAAAAATATATATAATTTGTCCGGATTTTGGCGCCGCACCCTGTACAATATATCAACAAATTTCTTTATATTATGATAATATATGTATAATATAATAGATTTAGTCCTACTTAGATTAAATTCATTAATCAATCAATTTAATTTTTTATATATTCACGACAGTCTATTACAAAAATTTTCGAAAGATAGCAAATGATATTTTAGCAATTTCAAATATAATATGGTAATATATTTGACAGATTACACGACAAACACGTGCCGGTGTGAAGTATAACCCATTTTGAAAAACTCAATGTTTTTTACACAGTTCCGTTTGCATTCCTAATCATTCTACAATTCCTGCTACATTTTAATAATAGGGTAATTGTCAATTACTGTGTTTGTCCCTATTAGTGTGCTTTTGTATTTCGATATGTCATAAAGAAAACTAGCACAAATAAATAAGAAAAAATATATTTTTTTTTAACTTAAATTATTAATGCATACTACACACACACGCGCGCGCACGCACGCACGCACGCACGCACGCGCACGCACGCACGCACGCACACACCACACATCACATGATACCGAAGATAATATTTTATTTGTTGAGTATTAAAGTATTTTAAATATTTTTCAAAAGATATGAGGAATTTATGTGAATCCAGTAATGCGTACCATAAGATTTTAAGCTTGTCCCTATTAATGTGCCTTGTATTGGAACTGAGAACGTTGTGTTATGAGTGTACCTTGGAATATAATTGAAATAATGATTTATGTATAATAATATTAACATAAACAATTAACTTAAATTTATTATCTGTTTTAGTAAATATATATTAAAATGAGTCAAATGTGGATAGGCACATAAATTGGGGGCACATTAATAGGACCATCGCTACTTAGAGGACTCACTAATAGGGAAAAAACATGTTTTCTATTTTTGTCAAAGGTTATAAAGTATTAACATTTTTTAGATTAAAAAAATATTATAAGAAAAAGAAGTAGTTGAAAAACCAATAATTGATTGCAAACAGATAAAATTAAAAAAGCTACAATATTTATTAATTCAGTAATTAACTCAGTAATGACCAAATTAGCTAAAAGGCACATTCATAGGGACAGTTACCCTAGTTGTCAAATTAGCTGATTTAGCTTAAAAAAAAAAAATTTTTTTTTAATGGGTGCCAACTTCGCGTGGCTCCTCAAGTATCACAAAAATTAATTTTTATGAATTTTTACGAAATTCTACAGTTCTCGAAGAGTTCTATAGTTCCTGATAAGTTTTAACTATGCACCGGGATGCACCGAATATCCGAAAAATATCCGATGTCCGGTATTATTCGGCACTTTTTCATTATTCGATATATGATAGCCAAATATCATATGTCGGATAATGGATTAATATCCAGGAATATACTCGGTTAAAATTTGATATCATTAAATTGTTGATTTTTTCTTATATAAATGTTCTAGAAATAAGTATGCATATTCATGATGCTATAATATCGTACATTGTTGCAAAATTACAATCTTTTTCTCTGTAAGTTTTCTTTTTTTAGAAGATACTTTCTCGGAATCCGGTCGGATATCCGGAAAATGACGAATATCCGACTCGAAAAAATTGCTTTCTTAGATATCCGATCGGATACAAAATATCCAATATCCGGTAATTTTACGATCCGGAATTTTACTAGGTGCATCCCTAGTTTTAACGATAGTTCTTTAAACACTTTTTGATAAATATTTAATCTATCTGGTTGTAACGGTTGGCACCCCATTTTTCCTATAGTTTTACTATTTTTTCTATAGATTTTGATTAGAAATGTCTTTAAGTATTTTTAAACAATTTTTCGATCAGAGCGGTTGACACTCCATTACAAGAATAAAGTATCACGTGACAGCCAGTTCCCACCGATTTTTTGCCATTTTTCGATAGTTCTGCAATAGTTCCAACGCTTTCTGTAGGTTTTACTCAAAATTCTTGCCTTTAAGTATTTTTAAACAATTTCCCAATTAAAGCGCTGGCTGACACCGCACCACAAAAGTAAAGTATCACGTAACAGCCAGTTCTAGTCAACTTTTGTTAATTTTCTATAGTTCTGTAATAATTCCAAGACTTTCTATAGATTTTTATCAGAGTTCCTATTTTTAAAACAGTTGCTACTATGCGGTAACTATCAAGAATTACTATAAAGCGATAGGAACTGTCTGCATCACGTACTTATAAAAAATGTGCTGCCAGCAGTCAGATTAAAAAATATTTAATATTACTTAAAAGCAAAAACTTTGGGCAAGACGTTTGATCAAATGCGTTGGAACTATTGCAGAACTATAATAGCAAAAATAGAAAATAGCAAAAAGTCAGCGGCAACTGGCTGTTACGTGGTACTTTACTCTTGTAGTCGAGTGCCAGCGCTCACATTAAAAAATTGTTTAAAAATAGAGGCCGGAACTTTGATCATAACTAACTAATAGAAAGCGTTAGAATTATTATAGAACTATAGAAAAAGTCCCCATCAAAAAAAAATTTTTTTTAAACTATCAATCAGCAGAACTATTGTTAAAGCCTAGCTGAAGCTGTAGAACTATTATGTTATTAAACGGAACTGTGTATAAAATATCAAATTTTTCAAAATAGGGTGCTAATTTCACACCGACCAAACACGTCAACTATCTATTAAGGGAAAGTAATAATGTAAGAGGTCTGTTCAAAAAGTATTGTGAATTTTGAATTTCCGCGGGTTACGTATATTCGATTTTCGATTTTTTGTAGCGTTATGTTGGTACTCATGTCCCTCACTTATGCCGACAAGTTCGGCCATTTTTAATGTTCAGTTAATTTTTGACAGCTGCTTTGCTTGCACGTGTTTTGGCTGGTCTTCGATTTTTGCCTATTCCAAAAAATGGATCAAAGAATCTGTATCAAATTTTGTGTGAAAAACAAAATTAAGTGCGGACGCATTCCGAATGTTGACTGTGGCATATGGTGAAGTTACCTTGGACCGAAGCAACGTTTATCGGTGGTACAAAATGTTCTCAGAGGGCCGAGAAGATGTGAACGACGAAGAGCGTGCCGGACGCCCGAGCACGTCAACAACAGACGAAAACATTGATGAAGTGAAGAAAATAGTATTGGCCAATCGTCGAATCACCGTTAGAGAGGT